ATGGGAGAGTATATGGGGGAGGGTTTTTTCCCGACGGCAATATCTCGAAAATTCCAACATAAAATTTTTTCTTGATATTACATTCCTATCCTACTTTTTTATGATCTACACGATGGGCATCTCAAATTTGACCGGGCAAAAATTTCGGTCACATGTGAAGTGAATTCTATAGATTACTCGGAATTACTCGGAACAATTAAATATGTGAATCTTCTAGTAACTAGAATCTAGTTGCAAACTAAAAATATATTGTTAAAAATTCTCCGATGAAAACTAACAAACAAATAAATAAACTTATACTGAGCGATGCCATAACACCGATAAAATCACCAGCTTGTAGTGCTTCAAATTTATTGTTAGTAATCTCGGTGTTATCGACAAACAAATTATCAGTTTTATTCAGAGCTGAATTTATATGTTTAGTTAATATACCAGTTGTTGCATATCGGAGAACCCTATAGACATTCAAATGACATTTTAATTATAATTTTTAATAATCTATTAATAATTTATTAAATACTAATTAAATGGTAACCTTATATTCAATTCATCCCTAAAAGTTTGATTTAATTTTCTATTGGAAGCGACTGTCAGTACACAATCTCCCAGATCTTCCTCTAAAAATTTTAGACTTGATTTTGGGTTTAATTTGTCTTTAAATTGGATTAACGCTATTTTTATGGGCACTTCATAGAGAAATATTGCATATTCTCCATAAGACACTCCTTTAACCCACTTTTCATTCATTACAAGATCTATGAATTCTGTAATTGTTTTCTCCGATTCAATCCTCTTAACCATCCGATGATATATATTTGGTTTTGTTTGTGATTTTAATTGTGGCACTAAATTAGGACTTATCAATAGCCGTAGGTCTGAATTGACTAAAGTATGTAAATTGTGAATCGAGTCGATAGGTGTCCGGAGACTCAATCTGGCGATTAATTCACCCGAAAAGTGAATATTTATCATTGATATACAGGTAAGCAATAGTGTTGTCATAGCCTTCACGGAATCAAATGCTAATCGCTGTTTGTATTTCACATCTAAAGTAAGAATTAAATTATTTTTCAATTAGTTTTAAATTTCATTTAATTTTTACTTTTAAATAAAATATTGTATGTTATCATTATTAAACAAACACATTACAAACCATTATCATTAATCATGGTGCATTTTATAACGCGATTAGCTACAAAACCTTTTCTATTAATTAAACTCGTAATTTTAATAATTGAAAATTTGATCACAAATAATATAATTATTAATAACCAAACATTTAAATCAATAACGAATAGAAACGAGAATATGTTTGAAACAAATTGTTTGTTAACTCTTAACAATGCAATTCGTTTGTCGGTATAATAAGGTATAGTATAGTCGAGCACTCCTTGGCTGAACGGACCCTCATATAAGGGGTAAGGACTGAATGTAATGTCCACTTCCTATTGATTTACAAATGTTTAGTTTAATACAAATTCAAAATATATCATACATTTCTTTCCATACGACCCGCATATCCCTCCCAACCGTTATTTTCCGACCGTATCTCATGTCCCAACTCATAGTCTTCAGTGAAAGTATAGGTGAAATTCATTGATTTGGAGACATAGTAAAGGAATTGGCACTGAATTCCTTCACAATTGTGGCCATCAATGTTGTAAAACCACGGCTCCAAAGGGGCGACTATTAATCGCATTGTTTTAATCATTTTGATATTTATTTACGTTAAATTATGATTTCATTTATCATGCTGATACTGTATAATAATAAAATAATGATTTATTTTCTGTAGTTACTTTAATTTCCTACTCTAATACTAGTGCACATTATTCTTGGTGAACAATACAATTTAGTAATTTTATATAACTTATGAATAATAAGGAATAAGATGTGTATAAATAACTAATTTAATGATAGATAATTAATATAATTGATCTAATTAATTCATATTTCTAAAATAAATATATAGTATTGACTTCATTATAATATTGACAATATATTAATGTACTTTACATTTATGATGATATTAATTAAATCAATTTGAAATTAATAAAATTAAGTTAGATCACATATCGATTTTACCATATCGAGCTTATTGTATCTTATTATTATTTGAGTGAGTAATATGAAAATGTTATTTATTTATATGGTATTTCATAAATGATCTGAATATACAGTATAAATTATGATCATTTTAATTTAGATATCATTTTAACAAATATGTTTAGCCAAACATTTATTTGTTTTGTTAGATTTTTATTATTGATAATATATGGAAAAGTTTTTAATAATTATTTATTAATAAGCGCTAATTACATTAAATTTTAAAAATTATTTTATTTTGCTTACGTAAATTAAAAGCTCTGTATGGCATACCATGTGTATTAAATATTCAAACAACATTGTTATTCAAAGATGTATATAATTGTATTTCAAGAATAATAATGCTCTAGGTATATTTTATTAATTTTGTAATTTATTAGAATAATCCGCGAGTTATGATGTAACTTAAATATTATAACAATTATGGCAATTAATTAATATTTATTAATAATGCAATAATAATGAGAAAACAAATGGTCATATTTAAGAAATGAAAAACAATTTTTTTAGTTAAACAGTGATAATCAGTGATAATGTAATAACATTTAATTAAAAGTAGTAAATTAAAGCATAAATTAAACATAAATAGAGAAAACAAATGTCATTATTTCAAAACTTAGATTTTAAACAATTTATCATAAACTTAAATAATACGGTAATTATAAATGCATTCAACAAATGCTTAACTAAATTGTAATTTAAATCAAACAAAACAAATGATCAGAACTTAATGAAAAAAAAACAATACATAAAACACATGAAAACTAAAAGTGAATAAAATATAATTAAATCCAATGATTAAAGAAAGGGATAAAGAGAGGGAACCGAGGAATGGCTTCACTCATCATTAGCTCTGAATCTCTTTTGCGGAAACTCTTCGTTGTCACCATCTGATCCATTGATGGCGTCATAATTGGTGGCGCTCTCTGTCCAGACGCTGCGATTCGGGGACAAGTGGTCGCCGGCGGCGGCAGCGATACCATCAGCGCTACCATCGCTACTCTCACCACTAAATATGCCGCCGGGAAAGTAGGACTGACCTATGATTTGGCTATCATCTCGAGGGACAGCACAGCCGCGACCAATAACACCGCCGCTTCTGTGGAAGGCCTCGGATGCGGCCCTCAATCTCTCCATTACCAACGCATCCCTGGCGGCCATCACTGGGTCGGCGGCCAGCGCTCTGAGAAATGGGCTCAAATCGACATCGAGTAGACACAACCGCATCGGCCGGCCGTCCAGCGGCTCATTGTTAAGCGCCGCCACCGCCTGCGCCGCCTCCTCCTTGCGTTCAAACACGACCAGAGCTGTGCCATCGGAGCGACCGTCGCGTCGATAGTTGACGCCCACTCTCTTCAGCGAACCAAACGTCTGGAACAGTAGGCGCAGGTCGTCGTCGTTCACCTCATACTTCAGATTGTCGACAACAATGCGGCCGCAGTGGTCCGGATAGTGAGAGCTCGCGCGACCACTTGATTGGCCGCCACTGCCGGCCGACGAGCGCCGGTGTTGTATCACGTCGTCGAACGGGTCGTAACCGTAGCCCTTGAAGGAGCTATCGATGCCAACGGAGGCCCGGAGTTCGGCCATCGACTTAGACATGTTTCTCTTGCGCCGATTGGGCCGATACTCACTGCCACCCCTGCCGTCCTCGTAGCGAGTGATGCCGTCGCGGGCGATGATCTCGTCCAACGACATGTCCAGCTTCTGGTCAATCAAAGCCTTTCGGTTCATATTTGCGGCGATAATCAAATGTCTTGAGCAGTGGTTTTGTGACCGATTTGTTTCAAATGCAGACAATGAATGCAAATGCTGTGCAACGCGTCTCTTATATGGTGTGCGAATCACGTGATCACTACTGCCTTACAGTCTCTCTCAGTCTCTATTCAACTGCTAATTAAAAAATGTAATTTCAATAATCGAGTCATTAGTTCACACTTAATACCTGTACAATGAAATAGTTTTCAAAAACAGGGTATTTAATATGTTTACCTGTTTTTCTGTTTCCCGTTAAAGATTGTTATATTGTTTTCTAAATAAGGAACCTATTAATTTGAACATAATCTATGTAATATTAAACTGACCACGATAATATTAATTATTCTTGTTATTAAATTAATTATAATCGCGATAATTATGGTTATTCACAAGTATCGGGATTAGGGAAGTAAACGGGTCGGGAAAAGTGAGAGTATTATAAAGTCTATTATTAGTCGATCACGTGTTTAGTCATGTTTTATGTTTATTGGGTAAACTTTAGTCACTTTTTTAGGTTTTAGGAAATTTTTTGTTTCACGTATTTTAGGTTTTATTGCAAAAAACTAACTAAACTATTGACTGACTTAATGAGTGACACTGTATTCCATACACAGCGTTAGCGCACACTTCAACCCCTATTCAAGTGTACAGTGAGTCCACACAAAGTCAGTACACAATACCTAAACCATTAGTAATTTCATAGACAATCATATGGTTTGTTAACCACAAGACGATAATATCATCACCGAAACAGATCCCTAACCACAGCACAGCCATAATGAACAGCCGTTGGACGCGATGGTCAGTACTGGGCATACCGTACGAGTCGGCGGACAACGACTACACACCGATCGACGCCGAGAAGACACTCTTCGTGGGGAACAAAGAGGTCGCTCACAATCGATACACACTGCAGACACTGGCCATCACTCTAATGGTGGCCGTCTGTGCCAAAGACATGACCGCTCTGGCGGTGGACTTGCGTCCCGACAACTGTCGCTTCCATCACATCGACGCCGAAGACAGCCCTCACGAGGATCTCATGGCTCACTTCGACCGCGCCGTCGACCTCATCGACGAAGAGCTCGTGGATCGCGGCGGACGAGTGATGGTGTGGTGCGGCGCCGGTTGGTCCCGATCGGTGACGATTGTGGCCGCGTATCTCATGCGAAGGGATCGCTGCACCGGCGACGAGGCTCTGGAGCTGATCCGTCGCGTGCGGCCCAAAATCAATCCAAACGCGGGTTTCGTGGCTCAGCTTCGGCTCTACCACGAGATGAACTATCGGCTCGACGTCACTCATCGCGAGTATCGGGTTTTTGCGGTGATTGCGTTGCGACGCCGCGTGTGGACCGACAAGTACTGGTCCGACACACGTGTGGGCGCTCTTCAGCGCCAATTCTCGGAACCCATGCGAAGATATTTCCACAAAATGGCCAAAAGTGTGGCCAAACGTGAGTCGCCGCCAGTGGTGGCCATCACTGGCGCGAAGACCGGTCGCTATCATTGTCGCGATTGCGACGGTGTTGTGGCCGACGAGTTGAATGTGTTGCGCACCGCCGACGCCGACTCTGGCCACGGATCCGGCGCTGAAGAGTGCGATAAGATGTTTGTGGAGCCCATGGAGTGGATGTTGCCGTCGATCTGTGTCCAGAAGAAGGGCGACCTGTTGTGTGGCAACTGTTCCGTCCCTTTGGGTGCCTTCAAGTGGAAGGCATTCAAATGCGATTGTCTTCTTCATCAGCCATTGCAAGACTCGACGGTCTTTAAGATAATGAAAACACAAGTCGTTTATAAGTAATGATTGTTTTTATAATTTTTATTTCACTCTTTAATTATAATTAATATATATTTATAATTGTTTTGTTGTAAACCTATTGTACGGATACTTATGATCCATAAGTTATGGGCAAACGGGAAATGGTTTAAGACCTGCTCTTAATGACAGTAATGGTTAGGTTAGGAATCGAGTTATGAATGTTTCTTATTATTGAGGTTTAGGTGTATTTATAAATACAATTAACAGTTAATTAATGATTATTGACGTAAAATTATTATAATTATAGTATTATTGTGTGATTTCTTATGGTTTACATTTTATTACTAATCACTTGTCTTCTCATTTTGTAAATATTTCAATCATGTGTTTAATTCGTAATTTAAAGTAAATTAATGTGTGTTTAAAATATTCAAATTATCTGTATATTAGTTGTGAAATAATAATTTGTATTTATAGTCAAATACAGACAATTGTTATAAATAACTGTTTTATCGTTAATATTGGGAAATAACAAAAATTATTTATTTTGTAACTAAGGTTAATAAATAATTAGTTTTTTGATTGATTTAATGAAATTTGAATGTATTTTAATTTTTATAAATACTATTAATTAATAATAATGGTAATTTTTATATTTTAGGCAGAATGTAACTAAATTGTGGCACATGAAATAAGCTCAAATTTTCAGGTAAAATTGTTTTGTTTAACTATAAGGATACTATAGTAAAATGTTAATTGCTACCATGGTCATTATGTGAACATTTTAATTGTGTTTAAGAAGTTTAATAATATTTCTGAAAAATTAAGTTTTAATTACTAAACTCAGGGATATTTAAGTCTATAATTATGAATAATTTATATAAAAAATAATTATCTGAAAAATGAGAAACCTTTTTAGGATAGAAATTACTTTTGCATTCATTTGAAATGATAATCAATAATAGTCTTATAGATATTTCTATAGTATTGTTGTATAATATATTATATAAATATAATTAACTAAAAGTTAATTAACTGTAAGTTTAGACAATTTAAACAATTTTTCTAATATTTCAATGGATTAATACCGAAGAGAGACAAGTGATTAGTAATTAAATGTAAACCATAAGAAATCACACAATAATACTATAATTATAATAATTTTACGTCAATAATCATTAATTAACTGTTAATTGTATTTATAAATACACCT